GTTCTGGTTCCTATAGCTGTTGCTTCTTCCTTGATGGCTTCTTCCTAGCTGAGGAATTGAATCCCCAACCCCCCCTAGAAGGGTATCTTCCTCCACCACGACCACCTCTTCCTTGGAATCTCATGGTTGCCGTTGGTGTGGTAATGCACTCTTGTGCTTGCTTGTTCCTTGGAACTAAGCTTGTGTTCTCGTGGAACTGTTGTGTGGATACTCCTGCAGGAAGGATCTCACGACGGGCCACTACTACTCGTGTAGTTGCCTGTAAAAGCTTCTTGTTGGCTGGATAGCCTTCTTTTGGTCACTCTTGGTGCACCTTGTTTGTGGCTGGATAGCCTCTGTCTTTGACAGCTCACGAATTCCAGAGGAACTCGTGTGTTCTCTGTGGGCCTGGGTAGAGCGAACTGCTCTGTTGGTCCTTTTGTTGCCTCTGCAAAGCTTGCAGATGGTCTTGGTATGCTTGGATGGTTACACTGTGTGAGTATTACAGTTTGAAACAGACAAACGGTGGAGTTTTAGCTCTCCGGATACTTGTTCGTTCTGCCGGGATTTTTGTCCTTCACTTCACAATAGCGGTGGATCACTCGATCAACTATCTCACTCAATATCGGGAGTTAAAGCGGTGCACTGATACTCAGAGTATCCTTGACGTGTTGCGCAAGTTTCTCTCTATTGGGGTCTTGTCTTGCAGAGCTCCGTTCGGACGATAGCTTGATTGCTAGATGTTGCCTGTCGCTCGCCGTGATGTGACGGATCGAACTCGGTGCGATGAACGCGATGACGTAATCGACTGTAACTCACTGGATAAGAGGACTTCCGCGATGGTGACAGTAGCGAGTCCGTGTGAAATCTTCTTCTTGATCTGCCGATACTCTCTGATCAACGTAGCTCCGGCGGAAGCGTTAGATCGATCGGCAATGGGATTTTCAATCGTGTGACGCACGCACGTATATGGCAATTCTCCTGTTAGAGGTGTTTGCCTATACCGAGAGTGTGTCTATAGGGCTGAATTGTGCACCTCTCCTCTGTTGCAATAGTTACTCAGTGCTTTGACTTGATAGTCTTTGATCAACTTGGTATCAATCTCGAGGTGTTGATCTCTTCGGACTCGAGATGAGACTTTTGCTTTTCAGTGTTATTTGCTAGTAATACTGCAGCTTATTGGGGAGTAATTTGGTTTTAGATTAAGCTGAAAAGCAAAAGTGAGGATTTTCTGGTGGTGCATAGCAATTCTTGTGATTGAATTGGATATAAGGACCCCCGCACACTTTAGACTAAAACTCCCTTGGTTCTTGCATGATCAATTTACATGCGAACGGACTAGATGATTAATACACGAGTCAATAGTAAAGAGGTGTCAGGTATGTTTCCTCCAACACCCGTCGCAACATTATTACAAGCACTACGCACGCACACCATCCCCCGCCCCCACCTCTACTCCACCAGTTCGCCTTCAAGCTGCCACACTGGCCCTTCCCCATGGTTTTGCACTACCCCCCGGCATGAACTTTGAGGCCTTCTTGGGACTCTTCTCGAAAAGCACCAGCAGGAGAACGGTGGTAGTCTCCTACAGTAGCTTACGTATAAATCCCCCGTGCCCTCCATTTTCAAATCCTTAATACTGGACCCCCCATATTATTCGCAAACCATTCCCAGTTCCATGCAACCAAATACGTCATCTCCCGTTCCACCTGTTCCACAACCACGTCGGCCAAAGTGTCACTGCGAATAGTCAGAATGATGACACTCCACATGGTATGAAGAAAGCTGCCGAACTTCCACGATCCTATTACCGAATACCCCAGTACCGAAGAAGAGCAGGAAACACAGGAAGAAGACACCAAGCTCCCAGCGGAAGCGAACCAACCCTCCACTTAACACATACTATCACACAAAACTTTTACAACCTCACATATACCACGTTGACTTCAAAATTGCCAAACCTAAACCCTAAATATAAGCCACATGATTCATTCGATTCTATTCACCATAATCCTGTATTAGTAAACGAGTTAAACTAGTACTGGAAACGGAGACGACCCAGAGGGCATATGAATCTTTTGGATCTTGGGAGTTGGAGATAGTGTGCGCCCCGATAAGATCTTTCCAAAACATCATCCTTGCGTCGAAGACACATACCTCGATCACTTCTATCGTCGACCATGGCGAGAACCTGCGAGAAGCCGTTTGGTGGAGCAACCACAACGCCCTCGTTGTATGGAAGAGGCACCGTGTCCATCTGTCGTCGAGGCAACAATGGATCTATCCTCGTGGCCGCCATCAATCGACCAAAGGTCAAGAATGCTTTGAATGACGACGTCTACGAGGACCTGATAGAAGTGTTGGAACAAGCCAAGAACGATCCCTCCATTGCGGCAGTGGTGTGGACGGGCGCTGGAACCTACTTTTCTTCCGGTGCCGATGTCAATGATGGACATTTCGAAACTGCAAACAAGAAAAAGGCAGTCACAGAATCCATTCTCCAAAAACCGGGAGGCCGCTTCATGATTGCCATTGTTTCCTTCCCCAAAGTGCTCTGTGCGGCGGTGCAAGGACCTGTAATAGGCATTGCGGCCACGGCACTCATGCAATGCGATTTAGTATTTTTCTCCGATAAAGCATTCTTTTGGGCTCCCTTTTCTAGGTTGGCGCTAGGTAAGTTAGTTGGGCTAGCTACAGAAATTGCGCTTGCTAGCTATTTGTACGGTACCAGGTAGCTGGATTGTTGCAAAACTCTAGCATGGCCTAATAAATATTCGTCTGCTTCCTTTTTATTACATCACATGCATCATCACATTCCAACAGTGCCAGAGCTAACTTCCTCGGCAACGTTCCTGGAGACCATGGGATTGTCCAAAGCCAACGAACTCCTCTTGTTGGGAAAACGCGTCAATGCCCAAACGGCTCTGGAGTGGGGCATTTGCTCTCGCGTGATGAGCGACTGCGATACGGGAGGCGATCCATTTCATCCCCACAGTCTGGCCAGTCGTATGTGTGCCGAATTGGACCAGAAATTATTGTCGTTACCCAATGGGCATGCCACGGCACAAGTGTTTACCGATTTGGTCAAAGGAGCACGCCGTTCTCGCATGCATCACGTACTCCTACGAGAGCTGGCAGTGTTGGATCAGAGATTTCAAAATGGTGAAGTTGTAGAGGCAGCCAAGCAACTCGTCATTGGGGGCACCAAGAATAAAACACCGAGGAGTCGGTTGTAATGTAAAAAAATGTGAGGCTGTATCCATTGTAGAAGCATGACCATGCGTCTCCCTGTTCACATAGATTGTTGTATTTGCATTGCATAGCTGGTTGGTGGGTAGATTGCATCTTATCAGTGTGGCATTTGTTTCATCCATCCATCCCATCACGAAGCAACAGGACCCGCTCGAGCACACTTTGGGGAACAAAATGAATGCCCAAACTTGTCAAACCCAGACCCCAGAATCCCACCGGCACAATGGGCACACTTGGCAGCACTGGCTTCCTTTTGCGCTTTTAACGTGGCTTCCTTTTCTCGCAAGGATTGTTCCTCTTGTTCTTGTGCTTTTTGCGCCTTTTTTCGGTCCTTGGCGCGTTTTCGTTTGGCCGCCTTGGCCGCTTTTTGTTTGGCTTCTTTTTCCAACTCTTCTTCTTTGGTTTTCGTTTCTTCTTCTTGCATGCGTGTGTGCGCAGCGGCTTGTTGCTGTGCGTCTATTTGCTGCTTTTGTGTTGCTGCTTGTTTGATTTGTCGTTCCCGTTGCGCATCCTGTTCTTTTTGTGCGCGCTGTTGCAATCGTTCCCATTGCGCATTGCGCCATTGTTCAATTTCGGCGCGGGCACGAGCCATTTCGGCCTGTTCTTCTTGTTGTTTTTGGTGCCATCGTGACGCCTGAATACGTGCCTGTTCCTTGTCGTGTTGTCGTTGTTGCTTGCGTTGTCGTGCTTCCAGTTCGAGTTGGTGTTTGGCATATGCCAGAGCCTGCCGTCTCACCAATTCTTGCATCTCAACCTCCTTGGCTTGTTGACGAATCTGTGCCAGGACTCGTTCATTGGTGGGATCCTGCTGGTTGTTAGTATTGTGTTGTTGTTCGTCCGACGATTGTGTGGAGAGCCGCGGAAAGGCATCTTGCAATTGCTGGTATTCTCGTTGTTCGGATTCAACCCGTACGGCATCATCGTCGTCAATGACCACCATTCCATAGCCGTCATCCTCTTCCGTATCTTGTGTTGTCGCAGGATTAGATCGATTCAAATCAAAGCCCAACGTCGTCGAACGTGAATCGTCATTATTACTTCTACTAGTACTCAATTGTGTTTGTTGCTGTGATTGCTGTTGTAGTCTCTGATTACGTTGTCGTTGCTGTGTGGGATAGACAAATAGACCCGACAAGGCAGCCGTGGCTTCACTGCGCAAAAAATCCGACCGTCGTTGTCGGGATTCTTCCAGTGCTGGATTATGACTGCCATTACTAGTATTGTGGGATCGTACTTGGACGGATTCTCTGAGGGCAAATGCTTCGAGCACTCCGAATCTGTGTTGTTGTTGTTGTTGTCCAGTACCATCAGTAGGATGACCATATTGATCCAAATACTCGTCCAATCGCTTGCAATCGTCATAGGACAGTTTGGTCCTTGTCAAGGGATTCTGAAATATACCCCGTGATACAATATACGACGCCAAAGCTCTTCCGTCAAAGTAGTCATGATGTGTGTCATTGCTCTTCAAAATAAAGGGAGGATACGGCAGCGAATTGACTGGCTCCAGGGTAATGGCACATTCTACTTGATCATCGAGACTCTGCCACCAAAATGGAGGCCTTGACATCTTTCTCTTACGGTAGTATATATCGAACTATCAGAGGACTCTCCTTGATTCAATGGCTCGGTTGCCGTACAGCAGGATCAACAACCATAGCTACTAGCTGGCCATGCAGGTTGGGTGTTGGTGGGCTCTGAGCTTCGCTTCTGTGTTATTGGTGTGCATGAGATGGTGCGATCGAGTGGGAGGCGAGCACGAACCTTCTCGGTGATGTCATCTTTGCTTTAGCATTCGAAACCAGTGCTAGAGTGGTTTTGTCATTGATACATGTATTGACATCAGTTGCAGTTGATTAAATCTCTGAGACCCGACTGGGGTGACGTGGTCGTTCTTTGCATTCTCGTCAACGATCCCTCATTTTTTCTTCAAAATTGGGCTTACGTTGCGTTGACACTCACTGCGTGGTGGCAACCTTGCCACGGTGGACAGGAACAGCTGCTCTCCAGGATATATCTTCCCAATAAGAGATTGTCCCAAGAAGAGACATCTCCCTTGGCTTCCTCTTCGTAGGTCATTTTTTAATAATCAAAAGAAGAACAAAGGAAACAATGAAGAAATTCGGTTTGGTCTCGCTCCTCTTTGTAGCATGTGAGCACTGCCATGTAGATGCATTTAGCAGCAAAATCCAACCGACGGGTCGTCTCTACAGGGTGTCTACGGCTACAGCTACTGTGGTTCGGGCATCGACAATTCCTCAAGTGGAGGAAGGCACTGAACAGCAAACGTCACTCAAAGGCGACAACAAACTTCAACAAGAAGTTGCATCTTCAGCTAATATTGTCACAACAGCAACAACAACCACTACTACAGAACCGCAATCCACATCTCCATTGGACGGATTGGCTGCAGTCCTCTTTGGTCAGAGTAGTAGTAGTGGAAGTCGTGAATACCAGCGAGGATTGATTACTATTGGGTTCATTACCCTTTTGTTCTCCTCCAACTCACCCGTCTTGCACGCGGCATTCACATCATCATCGGGAAATGCTCCACCCGTCTTGTTGCTCAATGCGGGCGTCAGTGTTGTGGCATTGGTCGGACTCTTGTTGGGAGGAGAAACGCTCGAAAACAACACCGAACTGCCATCGAGTTTGTTGGAACAACAACAACAACTCAAAACGGGACAGGCGCCCCAAGAACAATTCTTGGAACCTAGCGACAATAATAATGGTCTTTCGTTCCTAAACAACATGATGGACGAGGACGACCAAAAAGTATTGCAGGGAGGCTGTGAGTTGGGATTGTGGAAGTTCCTGGGAACTACCGCCAACATTTACGGCCTTTCACTGACGACGGCAGCCCATGGGGCCTTTCTCATTCAATTGACCACTCTCATTGTCCCCGTCGTCCAGGGGATCATGGGTGTCCCCATTCCCAAACGAATTCAGTTCTCCATTGTATTGGCATTGGCGGGAGTCGTCTGCTTTACGCAAGATCCGACTGGTACACCCTCCTTGGTGGGAGATGTATTGTGTGTCATTGCCGCAGCATTTTATGCCACATACGACTTGCGGCTCTTTTCCTGGGGAAAGCAAGTACCTGCACGAAAACTCATTACCGGCAAAATTGGAACACAGGCATTCCTTTCCTTGGGGTTGCTCTTTACAGCGGGTAGCACCAGTGGCCTATTGGGTGGTGGCGACTACTCGGATTTGTCCGCCTGGCAAGAAACCGTTCAATACGTAACATCCGATCCACAATGGAATGTCTTGCTTCCAGTGATTTTGTGGAGTGGCGTAGTGGTCAATGCCATTGCTCCATTCCTTCAAGTGGGTGGGCAGCAAGCTGTGGGACCGACGCGATGTCAAACAATCTACGCATCGCAACCATTGTGGGCAGCCATTATGAGTTTTGTCGTTTTTGGCGAAACCATTGGCTGGCAAGGGTTGTTTGGTGGCACGGCCTTTTTGACGGCGCTCTTTTTGGCTGCTACAACCGAGGCACCAGATCCGGAATGTGGAAAGCAGCAGTGTGAAGTATAACGAGTATACAAACATGCAACTGCAAGTGCAATGGCTTACTTCTACTACTGAAAATGCAAGGATTCGAATTGTGAATAAAGATATTATAGTGAACATACTTTGTACGAACGATGGGCCATCTCATGCAGAGGACGGGAATTAAGACATATCATGCGTTCTTGAGGAAACAAACATAATGAAACTTGAACAAACTCTTTTGTGCTACGATGTCCAATTCTATAGATCCAGTTCCTCTCAGAACTTTTCAATCTCCTGCTTCGCTGCTTAATGGTGCAGTCCGTTTTGCTATTCAAGAGAGACCACGAGGCCTACAGGGCTCACTTTCCTTGTCCCGTCATGTAGTTCCAAAACATGGCACGTTCGTCTTCTTTCATATCGTACAGTGTAGATGCTCCTTTCTGAATGACGTGAAGCGGGCGTTCCGTCGATTGGTCCTGATGGGTCCGAGCCAAATGGATCCCATAGGCAATACCCAGTTCTAGGATGCCTGGGCCACCAGACACGTAGCTCCATGGGTATTGGTGATGATGATCATGATACTGTCGGTAGCTGTAGCTTTTGACGCGGTGATAAATGTCGTGAAACTTGTCCGCTCCCAGCAACTTGATGAGTCGCTCAAAGATGCAACCTGCGAGGTTCTGGAAACGATGGTCCCCGCTATGATGATTGAAATGACACTCCCGCACAATCCGATCCGCTTCCAGAAACACTTTTTGGTCTCTCTCCGTGTGCTGGAGGTAACCAATCATATGACGAATCAAGTCGGTGTCGCCAGTAGGCGGGGGTGCTCCTCGAGTGTCCCACCATCCTGCAGTCACAGGTCGTTCGAACTTGGGTTCCAAGATTTCTCCGTTCATGAGAGATGCGACATCGTCATCTTCCAGCGAGATGACTGTTTCTTCGAGTGTTGATACCGAAGACGACGAATCCTGAGAAACGCTAGCAGGGATCATGTGCATACGATGATCGCCCGTTTCTGGTTCAAAGACCGTTTGCCATTGACTGGGTTGCGTTTCCGACTTGTTCTCCCCATTGTCTGATTCGTTCTTCGTCTCGTTTCTGCCAACGTCCTTTATATCGTCGTCATCGTTTTCTAGATCATCGAGCGGGTCCATGAGCCCCTCCAGCTCTCCTCCGTCAACAGCGCCGTCCTTCTCGTTGAAGTCAAATTCGAGAATCATTGTATCTTCTTTGATATCGATAGCTTCGTTCAAGATCATATTGACGGCCTCGGCTGATCCTTTTGAAATGAAGGATGCATCGTCTGCGATGGCAAGGTTTCTGTGTTCTTGCTGCATGTTCATGGTCAATAAAGCGTACCAAGCAACCAATTCGACAGACGAAGATGCAAGAATATGAGCTAAAGCAATCGTCGATCAGGTCGACGTAGAGGAAGAAACTCAAAAGGGGCCCGTCGTTTCGGGATCGGTACTTTTCATTTCAATCGTTTCTGGACGTTTCAGCCGTTGGCGGCCTGCAGTCATCAACAATCTTTTACCGCACCCCATGCGCACCAAATAAATGTGGAAGACGTTTCAAAGCCCTCATCGTCGCGGCCGGAATGGGTGCGTTCCGAGGATCTCATGACCTAACTCCTACCTATATTGTGTTGTGTCGAACCACACTCGAGTGCTTTCATTCAGGTGTCTGCGAAGAACGTGCGTTTTGGGTCGAAGAGTCTATAAAGCATGACATATATAGCGAGAGTGGTGCATCGGAGAAGGTAGAGCCTGTGCCAAGGAATTCCCTTCGATTGTTTATGGCGCATAGCTTTCATTCCTATCCAAACAAGGGCAGCCACAACCACACAACCAGGTTTGTGCAGTCAAATGACAACCCCTGCCCAAGTCACATGCATACAAAGAATCGGTTATTGATGCTGCTCAAAGCTCCTGGAATGGTCCCTGACAACATCGGGCCCCCTTCAAATGTCGAAAAAGTAGAGTGTGGAGTGCAGAGGAGACAGCTCCTTAGATCAAACCAGTAAATGAGTTATTGTCAAAGGACAGATGCCGTTGCTGGCAGAGATGGTTGGCCAAGTTCACAGCCCATGAGTCCAGAAGACCTCATAACCTAACTCCTAGCCCATGCATATCGTGCTCTTTCGAACCACAAACTCAAGTACATGTCATGTACTTTCATTCATGCACCTGTGAAGAACGTGTGTTTTGGGTCAAAGAATCTATAAAGATGATATTCAAGTATACGTATTGCATTGTTTGTTTGTTAATCTCCACCGGTGCTGTGAGGGGTCGGGTAACACGAGATGCAAGCAGAGCTCCCCTATCCTCCCAGCACCTAGAATTGCTAGATTAGAATAAGTTACTACTGCACTACTCTATGGCTCCTCTCCTTAGTTGACAGAGAAGCTCGTAGTACCCTCCCAGTCGGGGCTGGGAGCCAAGGATGAAAGACATGTGTGAGTTGATACGAGCAAATGAAATGGTGCTCAGGGCAGCTACCCGATGGGTAGTTGGTTCTCAAGAAGCGACAGAGTGATCCATTGGCGGTACTGGGTCATACGTATTACATGCATGATATCTATAGCGAGAGTGGTGCATCGGAGAAGGTAAAACCTGCGCCAAGGTTTTTCCCTTTTGATTGTTTATGGCACATAGCTTTCATTGCTATCCAAACAAGGGCAGTCACAACCACACAACATGGTTGTGCAGTCAAATGACAAGCCCTGCACCAAGTCACATGTATGCAAAGAATCGGTTGTGCAGGTTGCATTGATGCTGCACAGAGCTCCAGGAATGGTCCCTGACAACATCGGGTTCCCTTCAAATGTCAATTCGTAGAGTGTGGAGTGCAGCGGAGAGAGCTCCTGAGGAATCAACCCATTGAATGAGTTGTTGTCAAAGGACAGATGCCCTAGCAGAGTTAGTTGGCCAAGTTCACTCGGGATAGGTCCCGAGAATTGATTGTTTCGGAATTCCAACTCTTGGAGGTTAGACAAAAGTCCCAGCTCTGTTGGGATTGTTCCTGTGAGAAACCAGTTGTTCTTGAACGTGAGGGACGTTGTTAGCTCTGTTAGCAGGCCAAACTCACTTGGCACTGTGCCTGAGAATTGATTCTCCCGAAGCGACAGCGCCTTCAATGATGTCATTTGGCCCATTTCGGAAGGGAGAGGGCCACTGAAAGAATTTTGAAAAAGCGACAGCAAAGTAATGTTTGGAAGAAGTCCTAGCTCGGAAAGAAGAGCTCCAGAGAAGCGGTTGCCCCATGTGGTCAGCCATTGAATATCCTGCAATTGACCAATCTCAGTAGGAAGAGTGCCTATGGGCCGGCGACAGGACAGAGTTGAGGCGCCATCAAAGCCAAACGTTGAAGTCACCAGTATTGAAGGAAACGTACCAGAAAAGTTATAATTGTCAAGGATCAGCCACTTCAAGCTTGTCATTGACCCCACCAACAAAGTGGGGACTGTACCTTGCAATCCATGGTTCACACTCTTACCGAAATAAGACAGATTGGTCAACTGCCAGAGAGAAGTTTGGATAGTCCCGTGCATATCACAGTGTTGACAAAAATAGATCTGTAGGTTGGTTAACAATCCCAGCTCAGAGGGGATGGTTGAACCAGTCTTCATGTCAGAAAGAACCAACCCATGCAGTGCTGACAGTTTTCCAATGTATGTCGAGATTGACCCATGTAAAGAATTGAACGCAGTGGAAAGTGTTTGGAGGGATGTCAACAAGTAGGTCTCTGGTGGTAGAGAGCCCACAAGATTGTTACCATCCAACCATAGATGTTGATACAATCCATTCCTGTCACTGTGTCCAACTGGTAGCGGTTCCAAATAACCTGTGAGATAACCTTGATAGTACTGGGAGATAACTGCCTCCATGCTAAAGTCTGGTTTGTTGAACCAGTAGCATTCGTGCACACTGTGATCGAGCCAGTTGTCTTTCCGTACCCAAAGATCTCCCCCTGTGGAATAGTACAGAGTTGCCAAGGCAAACTTCTGCCTGATGCGGTCATCTGAAAGATTAGAAAGGAATGGCATGTCCTCCATCAGCCACTGTCAAGCCCTGGATTGGGGTGATTCCTCATCCCCAGTAATGGCCATAATGGTCTCATCAGAGAACAGGGATATAATGGATCCATAAAAGAACTTGGTCCTGCCGAAGGGGAAACTGTTGGTGTTGGCGCTGACAAAGCTTCTGCGTTGGACTCCTTGCCTATAACTGATACTACAATAACAATCACAACAATGGCAATCAAGAGGATGACTGTCAGAAAAATGTTTCTCTTGATTTTCTTGTTGCTTTCTTCTCTCTTCCTGGCAGCCTCAGCAGCAGCATTCTCAGATTCAAGCCCAGACCATCACCATACTAGCTAGTACCGACCACGACACCACGACCACAAGCACAGTACCTGGTTCAGGTAAAGAGTCGAGTCAATAGTCAATAGTCTAGTTCAAGCTGTCTGTCAAGCCCACACTCCAAGGAACATTGTACCTGCTGGTACAGTGTTGCCACGTGGGCTTTGAGCATTGAAGGGGAGGTACAAAGTGCTAGCGTACTAGCTAGTACATGAAGTAAGTGATGTCTGGTTGTCCGCGTCTGCGTGGGCGCCTGGGCAGTGGATAGCAGACGGCAAAGAAGCTTCGAAGCTGCAAAGGAAAACGGCAGCACAAACAACATTTACCACAATAATGCGTCGAGATAATCACGAATAGCACTCTTATTAAATTGGAAGCATCAGCAAGAATGGTGGTAGAAAAGGATATCGGTACAGTCCAAGAACCCGGCGATGGTGCAGGAAGGATGGGAGAAGGAAATGATTTCACTAACAAGGAGCCTGGGAGTATTGAATTCATCAAAAACCCTAGTAGCAACCAAGTTGTGGATGACGCTAACCAAAAGTTGGCCCTCAAAGCACAGGCGAAACAGGCAGGTGAAAGGGTGTCTTTCACATCTGCCACCAGCGCCAACATGGAAGATCCCCAAGGCCCAGATACTGGGAGAGACTTTTCTGCTGATATTGTGGTTGCTGCCGGAATAGAGCCGTTGCCACTCACAGCCAAGCCAACTTCACATCGGGGTGAGCCAGACACGCGAACCTGGTGCTGTTTCTGTAGCCGGTTACGGCTTTTCCACTTCTCAACGACGAGAGACTTCAGAACGAAACAACACTATAAATAATACACCTACCGGTATTACTCCCGATGTCGAGAATGATGCCATGGCAGTGACCAACTTGGTGGACGAGGAAGATTTGCAGCCAGCCATCCC